GACCTCGACGCCGACATCGGTAACAGCGCGACCTCGGCGTCGGCGTCGGCGTCGTGATGCTCCACCACCCGATCTCGATCGCGTGTTTAACCGTGCCCACGCGAGCTCTCTGATTCTAGCTCGATCCACCAGAGATCAGGGATAGTTATTCGCATCGAATACCGTTATTTCGCTAGCACCGTAAACCTAGTTTCACCGATTAACCACGCCAGTTAACGGCTCTCGTGATAACATTTGCCATGTACCTATATCACGTAATTTACGAGAGTCGAACTTTCAAGCTATCGAGAAATGTCTCATCGTATCGCGGTTTATCGCGTTGTACATATTTATGGCAAAACAAATCTCCTGATCACTTTCTATAGATTTTGTTTATAATTTGTGGATAGCGTGATTAAAATATTTATGAAAATGAAGAAGTCAACAGAAGGAGACTCGTATATGTATATTATTTCCCTTTATGTAGGTTTATGTAGGTATATTGTAGTCATCGAAAGTAAAATTGAGTTAGATTCCAAAATCCTCGGCTAATGTCAGATGTCTTGTTTCACCTGTAGAGTATAATGTAATAGAATTCTCAAACAAATATCTTCCTTGCAATTACTCGGTAAAGCAGGGAGTTCCGCATTATTTCGTGCACGTAGGGAAAAAATATTTCTGCCGATTCATTAATCGTTCAACTTGTCGTTGGAGGAAATCTGTGGCTGGTACCCTTAACATAATGGTTTCTCGATCTTCGTATACCTTCGTGGAAAACTTTTATCTGAGCCAATCATTTCAGTCACGACATTTAAGCTTCACGAAACAAACCACGGCAACTCGGAGATTTACGATCAACCAGTGTCATCGAACCGAAAGCAACTATTCGAGACAGTTATTGTTTTCTCAACACAAATTATTTATAATCTTACGGCAATAATAGTGCGACAGAAAACTTTAAAAAATAATAATAAATTTAACGGGAACAAAATTTTATTAAATTTCTACAGTCACAAATGCCATCAACAATACAATCATAGAAGATTATTGTTAAAAAAATTATAATAAATTAATGTTATTTGTTCGATGTGGTTTTCCATAAACGTAGACTCGGTAATGAAATCCTCGGGAGTGTTTCGACCTGAACTTAATTTTAATGAAATTATATCCTATCCCACCGGATGTCACCCACATAGCTCCGTTGTTCTCGTCAGATAGGGAATCTA